TAAATGGATGGATGGATGGATGGTGTAGTCCAGTAGAGCTGATGATGGAGGTCTGAGGACACATGAAACTACAACACACAACAAGGAGCCTCCATCTTCTTCTTCTGTTTATTAACAAACATCAACACAGCTGATGACATCACAATCTACAATGCAAACAGCCAATCAGCTGCTGCCATCACACTTCAGCTTACACAGCGTGTGTGTCAGTGTGTTAGTGTGTGTGTTAGTGTGTGTGTGTGTGTGTGTCAGAGTGTGTATCTGCTGTCTCCAGTGTGTGTTCCAGGTGTGTATTTCACTCAGTCGTCTTCGTTTGTCGTCGTCTGAACGAGACAGCTCCGACCTGACCATCTGCTCGAACCGCTGACACACACACAAACGCGCGCGCACATACACACACACACACACACACACACGTTAATCACATTAGCTGACATTATGTGTGTGTGTGTGTGTGTGTGTGTGTGTGTGTGTGTACCTTCACAGCAGCATCTCTCTGCTCGATGACAGCCAGATGTCCCACGGTGCACCTGGTCGTGGTGATGGATGCTGTTGTTGCCATGGTAACACTGGATGGCAACAGGTACGGGATACCAGGCCAGGCCCTGACACACACACACACACACACACACACACACACACACACACGTTAATCACATTAGCTGACATTATGTGTGTGTGTGTGTGTGTGTGTGTGTGTGTGTGTGTACCTTCACAGCAGCATCTCTCTGCTCGATGACAGCCAGATGTCCCACGGTGCACCTGGTCGTGGTGATGGATGCTGTTGTTGCCATGGTAACACTGGATGGCAACAGGTACGGGATACCAGGCCAGGTCCTGACACACACACACACACACACACACACACACACACACATACGCTCTGATACTGTGAAGCAACTGGAGGCTTTTATTGTGAAAGAGCTTTGTTGTAATGATGTCACAGCTGTGACGTCAGACGTTACCCGCTGACCGTGCAGGGTTTCCGTCCTGTTTCAGCTCCCGTCTCAATGGTAACAGCGGTGTCTTGGTGCTTGTGTGCCTCTGTTTCTATGGAAACACAAACAGGAAACAACTGAATGACTTGAAGTGAAAGCTCAGAACCTGAATGTTTTCTGAATGTTACCTGAATTCTCCTCAGATTGAGGAGGAGCAATGTGGTTTTCGTCCCGGACGCAGAACCGTGGACCAGCTCTTTACCCTAGCCAGGGTGCTGGAGGGGGCATGGGAATTAGCCCAACCAGTCCACATGTGTTTTGTGGATTTGGAGAAGGCTTAAGACCATGTCCCCAGGGGCATCCTGTGGGGGGTGCTCCGGGAGTATGGGGTTGGTGGCCCTTTGCTAAGGGCCATCCAGTCCCTGTACCAAAGGAGCATGAGTCTGGTTCGCATGGCCGGCAGTAAGTCAGACCTGTTCCCGGTGAGGGTTGGACTCCGCCAGGGCTGCCCTTTGTCACCGGTTCTGTTCATAACTTTCATGGACAGAATTTCTAGGCGCAGCCGAGTGGTGGAGGGTGTCAGGTTCGGTGACAAGAAGATCTCGTCCCTGCTCTTTGTGGATGACGTGGTCCTCCTAGCTCCATCGAACAGTGACTTCCAGCTCTCGCTGGGACGGTTCGCAGCCGAGTGTGAAGCGGCTGGGATGAGAATCAGCACCTCCAAGTCTGAGGCCATGGTCCTCAGCCGGAAAAGGGTGGATTGCCCACTCCAGGTCGGGGGGGAGGTCCTTCCTCAGGTGGAGGAGTTTAAGTATCTCGGGATCTTGTTCATGAGTGAGGGTAGGATGGAGCGGGAGATTGACAGGTGGATTGGGGCGGCGTCAGCAGTGATGCGGACGCTTAACCGGTCCGTTGTGGTGAAGAGGGAGCTTAGCCAAAAAGCAAATCTCTTGATTTACTGGTCGATCTACGTTCCAACCCTCACCTATGGTCATGAGCTCTGGGTAGTGACCGAAAGAATGAGGTTGCGAGTACAAGTGGCCGAAATGAGTTTCCTCCGCAGGGTGGCTGGGTTCAGCCTTAGAGATAGGGTGAGGAGCTCGGACATCCGGGAGGGACTCGGAGTAGAGCTGCTGCTCCTCCACATCGAGAGGAGCCAGTTGAGGTGGTTCAGGCATCTGGTAAGGATGCCTTCCGGACGCCTCCCTTAGGAGGTGTTTCAGGCACGTCCAGCCGGGAGGAGACCTCGGGGCCGCCCCAGGACACGCTGGAGGGATTACATCACCCAGCTGGCCTGGGAACGCCTCGGGGTTCCCGCAGAAGAGCTGACGGAAGTGGCTGGGGAGAGGACTGTCTGGGCTTCTTTGCTGAGGCTGCTGCCCCCGCGACCCGGACCCGGATAAGCAGACGATGACAAGGACGACTATGAGTACGAGTACCTGAATGTTTTCTGAATGTTTCCTGAATGTTGTCTGAATGTTTCCTGAATGTTTCCTGAATGTTATTTGAATGTTTTCTGAATGTTACCTTAAAGATTTCTGAATGTTTCCTGGACGTTACCTTCAGGTGTGACCAGGAGGTTGAGCTGAGAGAGCAGCTGCTCTGTGAGAGACGCCAATGATGTGACAAACTCCTCCCCTCTGGCTCGCACACACACCTGGACACACAAACACACCTGTTACTGACTCCCTGCTGCAGGTCTGACAGGTACTGATGTGAACAGGTGTCTCACAGACTCTGCCCCCTCCTACCTGTAGTTCCTGGTGTGTGCTGCAGACGGCACTGTGCAGCTGCTGCTGTCTTAGCTCCTCTCTGCTGTTCAGACTCTGAAACTCGTCATTTCTGAGAGACACTCTCAGCTGACGGATATTCACACGCTGAGAATGGACAGGTGAGAATGGACAGGTGAGGACAGACAGGTGAAGACAAACAGGTAAAGACAGACAGGTGACAATGTCTTCAGGTGAGACCTTCTGCTCCTCGCTGGACGCCAGCATCTCCTCCATCTTCAGTCTGACTCTGCCCACCTCCTCTATAAGCCCTGCCACCTGCTGTCGCTCATGGTTACTGATCAAAACTGCAGGTAAAGAGTGAAGCAGCTCCTCAAACATGGACAGCTGAGTCTCCAACTCTGAGACCGACAGACAGGTAGAGACAGACAGACAGGTAAAGACAAGTAGAGACAGACAGACAGGTTGAGACAGATAGAGACAGACAGACAGGTAGAGACAGGTAGAGACAGACAGACAGACAGGTTAAGATAACATGTCAGTGTGTGTCTTGTCCTGGTGGTTGCAGTGGTCAGTGGGGGTGGCCTCCACATACTTGTTTCCTAGCACGATGAAGCCGTGACCCGCCCCACTCTCCCCCCGATTGGCTGACCAATCCAACCAATCAGGGGGAGAGTGGGGCGGGTCATTCCTTCGCCATCCTAGGAACATGGAAAGTTGTGTCTCCTACCCTCTCTGCTTGTGCTCAGAAACTTCCTGGTCTGCTCCTGGAATCCCAGCAGCCTCTGCTGCATGCTGTCAGCCCATTGGTCCAAACTGTCAGGAACCAGGAAGAACTTGCTGAGACCACAACGATCGCAGCGGTAGAAGTCCTGACAGACAGACAGACAGACAGACAGTTTCATTAAAGCTGAAATGAATCCATGTCCCTGTCAAGACGCTCCACAGACAGTGCGTCTCTGTTACCTTGGCAACCTGCAGGAGGACATCACTGGCTTTCCACAACACAGAGTTCAGGGTGGAGCTGAGGGAGCTGAGACACAAACACATAGATGATCAATATATTGACTGTCAGGTGATTGACAGGTGATCAGCAGGTGACTGAGAGGTGGGACTCACTGTGGGTTCTTCTCTGGTTCTGCTCCAAACACCTGGAACCTCCTGTTAGACCTGGCTGACCTGCAGCTCCTCTTCACACTGACACACAGGTTAAAGACAGTGACTGTAAGCCCAGAGTTCTGACTGACAGGCTGCTTTACCTGTGAATGTGTGTGTGTATGCGTACCTCAGTGTGTTGACAGACTCTGTCCCTCTCTGTTGGACATGTGGGACAGTTGGACTCTGACCTGTGGACACACAGACTTCTGTCAGTCTGTCAGATTAATCAGGTCCAAGGTTTTATATTTAGACATGTTTTTAATGAGAGTCTGACTGCATCTGCTCATCTGCTGATCCTGGTCCTATCTGATACACCTGTTCCACTGTCATGGGCTGGTTAGCATTGTTGCCTCACAGTAAGAGGGTTCCTGGTTTGAACCCTGAGGTGGGGGAGCCCTTCCGTGTGGAGTTTGCATGTTCTCTCTGCGTCAGCGTGGGTTTCCTCCAGGTGCTCTGACATGTTCTCCCTGTGTCAGCGTGGGTTTCCTCCAGGTGCACTGACATGTTCTCCCCGTGTCAGCGTGGGTTTCCTCCAGGTGCTCTGACATGTTCTTCCTGTGTCAGTGTGGGTTTCCTCCAGGTGCTCTGACATGTTCTCCCTGTGTCAGCGTGGGTTTCCTCCAGGTGCTCTGACATGTTCTCCCTGTGTCAGCGTGGGTTTCCTCCAGGTGCTCCCACATGTTCTCCCTGTGTCAGCGTGGGTTTCCTCCAGGTGCTCTGACATGTTCTCCCTGTGTCAGTGTGGGTTTCCTCCAGGTGCTCTGACATGTTCTCCCCGTGTCAGTGTGGGTTTCCTCCAGGTGCTCTGACATGTTCTCCCTGTGTCAGTGTGGGTTTCCTCCAGGTGCTCCTCCTCAGGTTGCGTGAGTTTTTACCAGCTGATACAGACATTAAAGTAGTTCTAATACTACAGTAAATCATTTTAAAAACTTCATCTAGAAATCTGATGATTTAAATCAGAGGAACTGTCAGGATCATAAATCTGATCAGATATTTGATGACATGTGTCAGTTATTAACAGAAGGTTACCAGCAGCTGGCGCTCTCTCTGCTCCCTCTGGATCCTGGATCAGACTCAACCTGACGGGTTCAGAGGAGAAAACATTCACTCTCGTCATCATCACGTATCACACACAGCACTTGTACTTCCTGCAGTGTCTACCAGCTCAGAGACTTGACAACGTCCACCAAAGGGTCTTCGAGGATGTCCACAGCCGTCCTGCTCGTCTGAGGAAGGGCGGAGCAGACCTGCGTCCTGGATTTATGACAAGCTGAGCGACGTTCCTGCAGGGTGGACTCCTGAACACACACACACACACGCGGGCGGTCGTCAGCCACAGAGACAGAAAGTAGATCACAGGATTTCAGTAGTCTCAGTAGTTTAGAGGAGATATTCAGAGTAAAGAAACAGCTGAGAAACTAACCAATGAGATGTCCAGATACTGACTCCGCCTCCTGAGGTCTTCACTGACTGAGGACAGGAGACGACACACCTGATCTGTACACACCTGCACAGACAGACGGACGGAGAGACAGAAAAACAGCTTGAACCAGCAGCTGACATATCACATCAAACTACACTACAGAGCTGATTCAGGATGACTGTGACAACACACACACACACAAATACTACAGCTGTAGTACTATGTGTACCTGTGTGTACGTGTGTGTTCAGTGTGTACCTGTGTGTACGTGTGTGTTCAGTGTGTACTTGTGTGTACCTGTGTGTACTGTGTGTTCAGTGTGTACCTGTGTGTTCAATGTGTACCTGTGTGTACCTGTGAGTTCAGTGTGTACCTGTGTGTACAGTGTGTACCTGTGTGTACCTGTGTGTTCAATGTGTACCTGTGTGTACAGTGTGTGTTCAGTGTGTACCTGTGTGTACCTGTGTGTTCAGTGTGTATCTGTGTGTTCAGTGTGTACCTGTGTGTTCAGTGTGTACCTGTGTGTTCAGTGTGTACCTGTGTGTACCTGTGTGTTCAATGTGTACCTGTGTGTACCTGTGTGTTCAGTGTGTACCTGTGTGTTCAATGTGTACCTGTGTGTACCTGTGTGTTCA